GTCCCACCCCTGACTTCAATGATGGGAACAACCTCCGCACTCCGGCGCTCCAATGAACAAGAGTAAATCCATTTTTTGATTTATTTCATCTATTCCATGACCAAAACAGAGGAGGATACACGTACGTCAAGCGTGGGAGGCAAGCAAGAAAAGGCCGTTGTTCTTTGAAATAGGTTTCTTCTCTTCCTGGTGAAGTGAAGACAGGCTTCTTTAGCACAAAAAGAGAAGAAAATGAATACAGATCATGTGAGAGCGTAAGGCCAAATAAAGGGGTAATAGCTCACTGGTTTAGCTCCACGGGCTCGAAAGCAAGTTCAAGCCCGAAAGATGTCTTGAAAGTGGCTTAAAGGTCACGATCATAGCCATTGAGGAGGTGTGGGGAACCTTAAGCCTATTAGGGCCTTTCGCTGGAAAAAGGTCATAATGGGGAAATGGGATGATCCAGATTTATCGCAGCTTTCCAAGAATTTCAATGTTTGAATCGAGGGTTACAATTATTTATTTCAGGATACCTCGTCTCTTTTTTTTGAAAAAAAAAAGGAGGAAGTGTGAGGAAAAATGACAGGATGAGCTGTCCGGGAATTTTCTATCAATGCTTGATGATGGCTGCTTTCTTGTTTTGGGTTTCTCCCCGCACACGAAACTAGTGCTTTTCGAAAGATATTTTAAACTAATATTTAGCCAAATTAGTGGAAGTGTCACTGAAATTATCCCTAATAATAATAATAATAATTGTTAAAATGGATGATTGTATTGGATTTCTCCACGGCAATGCTACATTGAGAACAGAGTCTAACCCATGTGCATACAAATCTTTTCTGGCCCAGGTTTTTATTTTGGACACACAAAATTTCACCAGGTTTTTATTTTGCTATCATGCATTTTCACTGATTTTTATTTTGCTATCATTTTCACTCCTAACCACCACAGTTTAACAGTCTAAATGCAGGACCAGTATCACTTATGTTTGGAGGGATACGATTATAAGCGATTTGGTGTACAATACAAAATTCAAAATAGGCTGTGCAGAGCCTTAACACGGCCCCTGTTTTGGGCTCTTTGATTGCGTACCAAAACAATATCGTTTGGTACATAGAATCCCTCCTAACAGGAGGGGATCTACTTCCATAAATGGAATGCATATATGAAGGATCTAGTTCATTTGGAAATAATAACAATGATACAATATTGAATAAGAATGCACCAACAAAAGAAACATTAATGATATAAATAACAATGAATCAGGATTAATACATAATTATGATAGTGAAAACTATCTTGATTAAGTAACACAATTTGAATGATGATGAGTCAATTATGGGATTGTAGTTAAAAGAAGAATTAGAGTGGTTAATTTGGTCATTTAGAATAAAGTTGTAAGCTAGCTTAATTACCTTTTAATAAAGGGACAAACATGGCATGTGTCTGCATGAATACGTTGTAACCTTTGAATTCCGGAGAAGAAGACGAGACGAAGAAAGGTGTTTGGCAAGTAAGAAAAGGAACAGAATACGCGGGAACGAAGAAGAAGCGCAAAGTGTTGTTGTCTCGAATTCTCCTTTTGTTGGATTTGCTTTTCTTGGCGATGCAAGATGTCACTCATATTGTAAACTAGCTTAGAATTGTGCAGACAAAGTTTCTTTCAGGACCCATTGGCATGTACCTTTAAAGTATGGAGTCCGTGGAAAAATGGTGTTACATTTTACATCAAGAAAAGAAATTACATGCCTAGGGTCTACACATTTGGATTCACTTTTACACATCCACCTATGATACTCTGAATAACCATTTCTGAATTTGTATGATTTGGAGAATATATAGTCAATAATATTTTGTTGCAAACGGATTTACTTGGTTTACACAAAACTTCGAACTAGGTTTATAGAGTCACAGCACAAGATTTCACCATGTTATATATGAAGAGAGAAATGGAATTTCAATAGTTGAGAATGAATAGCTATCGTCGATCCTCGCTATAGTCCTATAGAATCAGGATTACATAACAAGTGTGAAAATACAATAATACTTCCCAAAATATTTAAAAAGGTGGGCTAAGGTGTACAGTACAATGAGACTCCACACTAATTAATGCAATAGTAAAATTTTATTTCATTGGTGTTCTAGACAATTAAAAAAAATAGTTGGTGTTGGAATTTTGTTTAGGTTTTTTTTTTTTTTTTTTTTTTGGGAAGAATGTTAGTGGTTTGTTGTTAAAGGAGAGGGTACAAGGCTCGAACATGAACGAACTCACAGGCACAAAGAGCATCCTAACCACTCGGACAACACGACACTTACCAAATTTTGTTAGATTGATTCTTCCACATTCATGTTTCAAGATCACAACCACACTAAGATTGGCTTGATTTAGCAACTTTTCTTTTTGGAAAAGATGGTATGAAATCCAACTTTCCTTTTCTGCATTTTCCCAGATAAGAACAAGTGGAGCTCATATAAAGTTGTTTATGTATATCCCACTATCTTGCTCTATTGCCAATGAGGTAAAAAGAGATTCATAATGCATTGCTTTTACATTTCTTTTGAAATATGCCACGAGGTCTAACTGTGGTGTTTGCTCTATAGAAGTTCCAACTTATCACTAGATCAAGATACTACTTTTGATCTAGGCAACTCTAAAAAATAAAAAATTCTTTCCTCTTTAACATTTCCAATTATCTTGTAAATTATATTCCTAATTTTAAATTTTGAAATTACTCGATTATCACAATTATTTCCCTATTAAAGTAGAAATACTTCATTTTGTTCCGTAAATCAAGAAAGACTTTATTATTCCTAGTATATTAATGATATGAAATTATTAACTGATTAAATGCTGACACGTAGTAATAAGATATAGAGTATTGAACTAAATGTACTTTCACTTATGTGACGAGATAATTAATTGATGACACCATGATATGATATCATTTGTGCAAAAAAGTCTTTCTCAATATATATTCTATGGTTAGCAAAACATAACATAATTTCTTTGCAACTGTGTGGTAGAACCATAGAACTGAATTTGATATGTGAGAGAGACAAGTTGGATCAAATAACTATTTTAGAATAAGTGGCAATGCATGTGGATTGACTAAAAGAGGAGATAAAAAGAAAGCCCTTGCATCACAAAAGGGCCTTTGAAAGAAAAGCAGTCACTATCATCAACCTTACAATAATCCATCAAATACAGTAGTATTTGATTCTCTCTCTCCCTATATTGTTAAAAGGGGCTTGTTTATTCTCTTGATAAATCACAAAAATTGGAAGACCACCATGTTCTTGCTAGTTTCTCAATGCTATCTTTTCCTTTTGGCATTTAAAGGAAGATGATGGGATCGATGTGAACAAGGGACATACATACATACATACATACATATATATATATATATATATATCATAAAGAAGAGAATAGAGAAGAACATCCTAGCTTTTGTGAAAGGGATGTTGGTGTAAAAGAAGCATCATGGAAGAAAAAGGGTGGAAAGTAGGGAGGTATATGAATTAAAGTTTGTTTAGTTTTTTTTGCTTCTTTCCTATATTCTTAGCTTTGGGTTGGTTTTTAATTTCAAGAATGATAATGATTTTAAAGTGGAAGAATTTGAATGAAATGAAGAGTCGAAAACTCTTTATCGGTTTCATATATTCATTTGAGAGTTAGTGATGCGAGACTCAGTTAAATAAAATATATTTAATGAATAGAGAGTTTTTTAACTCTCCGTCTCTTTCAAACTCTTCGACTTGAATAGTATTACGCTTATAAGGATTAATTATTACCCATTTCAAAGGTTACTTGATTTTGAAACCGGTATAAATTTAGAGTTAGATATTTGTCAGAAATGAGGCATGGATTGCCCAATTTTACAACATTTGCTACAAAAGTGGTCATGATGAGATGAGTCAATTGAAGAAACAAAAAGAGCATTCTATTGGTAGAATGGCATGAAGCTGTTACTACTGCTACATGAGCACTTTAAAAGAGATCACAAAAATGATTCCCTTTTTTTGATGAAACTTTGTCCTATGTTTGGAAATCCTACTCATATTCCTAGATGAATATAATTAATCCTATTTTATCACTCAACTGCAAAGGTTAATATGATTATATTACAGTCTCGTTCTTATTTGGAGTTCCTTTTTATGGTTACGACCCACAGGATACGAGCACCTATTTACACACACCCAAGCGTCTTGGTTGAGGATTGAACTCTACGCCTTCCCTTTTAAGAGTAATAGGCTGGACCACCGAGCACTTTGGTTACTAAATAGTCATTTCCAAACCAACAGTCATGCTAAAAGCAAAAGACATATCTTTTACAACACGAGTACGACAGCTATTTTTGAAATATGCCTTTTGGGCCTGTAACTTGTTATTGTTGGGCCTGTTTTGTTTCCCTGGTCTTAGCCTGTGATTGTTGCATATTAGGCCCTCTTTGCCAGCCTTGGCCCATATCATTTGATCCCCTGTTTTCTTCTATGAATCAATCCTCTGTTATTCTTATTTTCTTGCTGCTTCTCATGAACCTATTAGAAACAAAAAATCGAAAAAAATTTACTATTATTTCATCTGTTTGAGTGTTATTATTTGATATAATGCGTACAGAAGTTTAAGTTTGGGAATAATCACGCTTGTATAAAAATAATAGCAAATTAAAATTTAGGTTTTTATTTTATTTTATTTTATTTTCATTTGCAAACTATATATCTAGTTCACGATACCTTGAGTACACGTTTAAAAAACAGGGGGGAGACAGTTTAACTTGAAGGGTATAGGTTGCCATATTGACAAGTAGTACTCTTATGCCTTGAGAGCACGTTTTCAAATGAATGAAAGTTAGCTTGTATAAATGGATATAATATATGTGACACACAAACACCCAAACCTGCATTAAACAATTTCCACATATCTGATTAATTAATTTATATATATATATATATATATATATATACTTTCGTAGTATTAAAAATAATATTAAATAACTTCCACCAATAAAGAAAAAAAAAGGTAGAGAAACAAACAAGTTAATTAATATATAGTTATCAGGATGGCTGTATACATATGTGGAGTAGTACTATAGTACAATTAACAATATTATAAATTTCACTGAGGCAAAAACCAGTTCAGCTCCTCCAATATAGGAGGCAGCTCTGACAACCACCTCTCAAAATCCACAGATGACAAGTCCTCCCGCGGAACACCACCACCACCACCGCCACCGCCACCATGACAGCCACTATTGCCGCCGCAAGTTTTTCTCTTCTGACCCACAAAAGAGCTCTTCTCCATCCAATATGCAGCTCTAGAATTCTTACCAGTAAGACTTTGCACGACTGACTTGAAGCTCATTGCATCGGTTTCTACGTATTGGGTGTTGATAAAAACCACTTTCACGGGCTCACAACTAGCATTACCCGCCATTTTGGCTTTCTTCAATGGATGATATTTAGCAGTGGTTTTTGCAAAGTATATTTATGGATTGGTTTGAAGAGAGAGAGCTTGTTTTTATATTGGGGCTAGGTTGAAGGGCTGAAGGAGAGACAGGTGGTGGAAAGAAAGGGAGACAAATGTGGGGTACGTTCTGACCGTTAATTAGTGGTAGCAGATACCAGTTGACGCTTCCAAGGTCAGTCTTGGACGACCGATCGAGGTCCGGGTCAAACCATGTGATCTACGAAAATTTCGATCGCCCTATTTGGATGGACATGACTGAAGAGTGTACAAGATGATCATTAACTTGTCTTATGCATGAATCCACTAAACACACACATGCGATGTCAACATCCGTTGAATACTGAGGAAGCATCCATTAGCAAATGATGTGTACGTTTATGTATACATAAATGAAAACACACACATACATATATACATATATATATATATATTTTCCCTTCCTCTCTTGTTTTGCTTACCTTAAGACTTACTTGATTTATCACTCAGGAAACCATTTTTAAAAATATATATATATATTAAAAGAAAATTCTTGGAAAATATTTTTTTTTTTTAACTGAGTTTTAAAAAATAATTTTTAGAAATTGTAACCAAATAAATTTTTGTAAATTTTATAATATTCAGTTCTCATTAGATTGCTAATGTTGAATTTATTTAATAATTATGAATAGTAATATTGTAATTTAAAATTTTTATGTCAGTCTTTGTTTTATTTCCTCCTTGTTTTGTCCCTTCCTTCCAATCCTCCATCCACTCCCTCTTCATTCCTTTCTATCAAACAGACCATTAGAGACATGTTTGCTTCACGAATATATACAAATGAATTGATCAGATGAGGCAGGCTATTCATGCATTTGAGTCACAACAGGGGCTGAAAGAGAGTGGGTTGGGTTTTTCTCAAATCAATACATATAGATATATATAATGCCAGCAGTAACCCAAACCAAACCATCAATTAGTTAGGAGCCTAATCCAGCCCACCAAGTGTGGTGTCGGGCCCAACCCCACCAGTTGTACCCAGACAATGCAAATGTTATGGAGGATTGTACCTGACGTCTGTTTGCATAAGTGGATAGTTGGTTTTAGCGTCTTCAACACTTGTGTAAGTATTGTGACGTCTGTTTGCATAAGTGGATAGTGGGTTTTAGCGTCTTCTACACTCGTGTAAGTATTGTGAAGTGTAGAATGATTCTAAGAAATGTAGTAATATACATGTAGGATAGAGAATATTCTAAATAAATAAAGACTTAATATAGCTTTGTAGATTTAAAAAGAGACTTATGCAGAGTTGTAGATACTTTAAGAAAATGTTATCGTAATCATTAATTGCAATACTCCTATATATTAACCATCTGTTTTGCGAGGAGAATGTAGTCATTCTATTTGTAACTAACAAGTTCTAAAAGCGAGAGTCCAAATAGAAGTTACAAGTGAAGTGTGTCCAAATAGAAGTTACAAGTGAAGTGTAGAATGATTCTAAGAAATGTAGTAATATACATGTAGGATAGAGAATATTCTAAATAAATAAAGACTTAATATAGCTTTGTAGATTTGTAGAACAAAGAACATTATAAATAAAAAGAGACTTATGCAGAGTTGTAGATACTTTAAGAAAATGTTATCATAATCATTAATTGCAATACTCCTATATATTAACCATCTGTTTTGCGAGGAGAATGTAGTCATTCTATTTGTAACTAACAAGTTCTAAAACCGAGGGTCCAAATAGAAGTTACAAGTGAAGTGTGTCCAAATGGGGTATGCAAGCTGCATTAGAGGTGGCTTCTAACAGGAACGCCTGCATTGTGACACTGTCTCGAGTAACAAGTGGCATTGCGGGCCTAAGGCGCATGAGAGGTGGCTCCTACTACCAACGTACTGCGTCACTGACCCGAGTGACGAGTGGCATTCGATAACAAATTGCATGAAATGTGACATCTAACACAAAGTAACTGACTAACTGCCACTAATAACAAGCGGCACCACGTAAAAAGTCGGAAAAATTACTCCACTGAACTGAGTAAGAGGTGGCACAAACCACTAGTAGCGTTAGTAAGAGTGACATTGATGGACATGTTGTGGAGTATTATATAAAGTACCGTGGTTCGTGACAAATGTTATATAAACAATGTTATGTGATAGGTGTCTCTAAATTTAAATAGTCTAATAACACGCAACAACAATTTAATTTTTATCAGGAAACGTGAGTAACCTTAATTTTTCAAGGCATATAAAATAAATTTTCTAAAATCACTCAACAAAATTTTTTCTAAGAGATAAATTCAAATTTGTGCAATTATATTCACTCATTTCTCTTTTTTAATTCTAAATTCATTTTAATTTTATACTCTCTCTATTTATTATTATTATTTTTTTTTTTTTTAAGGATAAGCTTAATTTTATACTTGTTGTTTCAGATATATAATTTTCAAGAAAATATCTAATGGGCCACAATTTTTAGTACCCAATAGTTATTTTTGATAATTGAGTTTTTTTTCAGTTTTTTTTTTTTTTTTTTTAGTATGTAGTTAGATTTATGTAATCTCCTGTCAGAAGAATAATTATTCTTTGTATTTTTAAGATTTTATGAATAATAAAAAGAAAAAAAATCTACCTTACCAATTGATATGTTTATATATTACAAGTTAATTGCATAAACCTCCTTGAAATGTAAAAAAAAAACTACACACTATTCACCTCTAAAATAAAAGCAACCCTTTGAATTATTATAAGTTTGCAAAAAAGGCCAAAAACCTAATTTTCTTTAATTATGAAAATGTTAAATATGTCTTGAAATATTTCTTAATTTCTTTTAAGATTAATTGTATAAACTCCTCTAAAGAACCCCTTAGTACAAGGGTACGATGCAAGACTTTTTTCAATTAGGGGGACTTTGTGCAATTACTTCAAAAGGATAATTTTGGGGATTAATAAAAAAAAAAAATGACTTTGATATAAGGAGTGACTTGCAATTTTTTTTATTTATTTCAAGATGACTATCAATTTAAAATTTAGTAGGACGGGTAAAATGCACATTTTTATAACTGGCAATTGGGTGGGTTTGGACGGATTTTAAACTGATTATGAATGGGCGAGTCAGTAATGGGTCAATAACTCATTATCAACCAATTCATGATGTGTAATAAATGAGTTGGGTATTAACTAGGCTAGTTAATTCACACCCAATTTGATTACCCGAATATTTTTAAATACAAATATTCAAATTATTTTTGCTGTCAAATACCAAAAAAAAAAAAGAATTGTTTCGTGTAGCAATTTTTCATTCACTTTTTGGTCTCACTCATTACAAATTTTTTTTTTTTTTTTTTTTTTGGGTGTACAGTTACCTCTGCCAATAATATTAATTATATATATATACTGAAGATGCAAGAAATTCGTTCCCTCTTTCTCTCTCTAGAATTCTTACACTTCAACCAAAAAGATCTCCCTATCTCTTTCATTCCTCCCTTATTTATAGATATTTACAAGATATTTACAAATATTGACTGATTGCTGGATCTGGGCCTATTCCTCCATAAGTCCTGGTCACCTTTGATGGGCTTACTCGCGTTCGGCCCATATGGCAGTGTCTTTATATGGGCCGACCCAGCTGTACGGACCGAATGTAGTGCTTGCAAGTCGGATCCGGCCCATGTCGTCCTGGGCCTCCTCAACTGCCCCCATAATTGCCCCTTATTTAATAAGGGGTAATTGTTGATGGCGTCTCATCATGATGTTGACGGCTCGAGAGAACCACGTGGGGGAACGGACGGTCAGATCCAGAATCAATGTTCCTGGGCTCGAGGAATTCCTCGCCTTCCCGACGCTTCGGCCCTCGGGCCCCCTCGCCTTTATAATGCTCTAGAATACCACTTCACGTCCTTTTACCGTCTCCATCATCAGTCAAATCTCTCTCTTTCTAGAACAGTGCTAAGCTTTTCCTGGTGAAATCCTTCAAGAGTCATTCTTCCAGCGATCTTGCAGTCCTCTGAGGTTAGTTTTGTTCCTTTTTACTTTCGGCAGGCTTCCATTTACCCCCTTTTAGATCCTTTAAGCACTTCCACCATGGTTGTAGATCTGGATGTTCTTCGTATGAGACTTAGACTTCCTGACAACATCGAAGTTAGGGTTTGCCCTCAGGACGTTAACATTATGACCGGCGCCGGCCTCCTGCCCGGCGAAGTCTTATTCACGAACCTTCAATTGAATGTTGTTAGGTTCCCTCTGCACCCTTTCTTTAGTTATGTCTTCAATAGATTGGGGATATCCCCCCTGCAGGTCAACCCCAACTTCTTTAGAATCATATCCGTTATGCTCTTGTTGATGCGTGACAGAAATCTGGACCTTGACCTTATAGACCTTCTTCTGTGCTATAAGGTCAGTAAGATCCGTACTAACGAACCCTTCTACCACCTCTACCCGTTCGAGAAGATGTCCATATGTACGGACACAATAAAATCTGAAAAGGGTTGGAGGGATAGCATCGTGGGCATTAGTGGGGCTTGGTCTTCGCCGGCTGCAGAGGGTTACCCAATCCCGAGCGCCTTTGGTGTCTGTTCTGTCTCCTCCTATAAGAAATTCAAATCTCATAAACATGATTGCCCCTGCGAAACATGCGTTCCCCGTTTTTGTACTTTCTTATGCCGTTCCTTAGGAATACCTTGTGATGACTTGAGCTACAGTGTTTGCAGGGATAGGAGTAACTACTTGAAGAAATACGTTCTGAACGATATTCCTTCCTGCTCAGATCTCCTCACTTCAGACAACCTCTTAGCGCTCTCATCACTCTGCTACAACATGAGCAGGCTTCAGATTCCTTCTTTTGGCAGGAAGAAAAATACTCCCCCAGCCACTCCTGCTGCTGGGGCGACCTCCTCTCCAGCGTCAGCCTCTTCCTCAGCCACCATCTCTGACACTGTCCCGAGCACAGTGGCTATTAACTCTGTTGCCAGCACCCCTGCTGCCAACCAGAGCGCGTCTCCCCAAACTACCACAGCTCCTGCTGCTGCGGGGGGCGTTCGGGACAAAGAACGAGGCAAAAGGCCTCATCCTGACAGTGAAGTCGATCCTGAGGAGGAGCCTCTCATAAG